GATGGCGTGTAATGAAATAGAACTCGCGCTGAGCTCCGTAACGCCGTCTCTGTGCTGTTAATGTTCAAATCAGATCACAATCAAGTCAGGAGTGCCAGCGCTTTTAAAAGTCAGTCTTAAAGGATGTGTAAATAACCTCTGATGAGAAGAGATTGCTTTAAAGTGCAGATTGACGGAGTAAAAGCAGTGCGTCATGGATATCTTTGCACATACAGTATCTTCCTTGCAGCAGTTCAGTTTTGTTCTCTGTTGGACATTTGGAAATGTGTTTATCTTCCAAACTATGATTCTGAATCACCTTCTTAGTAAAAGATTCTTATTTTTTGTTCACATTTCTTCATTCAATTTCTGATCACTTTATAAAAAAAAAAAAGTTATATTTTTATTCAGCAAGGATGCATTAAAATTGATGAAAAGTGGCAGTAAAGACATTTATAATGTTACAAAGTATTTCTATTTCAAATAAATGCTGTTCTTTTGAACTTTCTGTTCATCTGTGAATCCTGAAAAATAAAATATATCACAGTTTCCACAAAAATATCTGGCAGCACAACTGTGTTCAACATTGATAATAATCAGAAATGTTTCTAATAATCAGCATATTAGAATGATTTCTGAAGATCATGTGACACTGAAGACTGGAGTAATGATGCTGAAAATACAGCTTTGATCACAGGAATACATTACAGTTTAACAGATATTCACATAGAAAACAGCAGTTTTAAACTATAATAATATTTCATTTTGGTATCATTTAGATACTATTATAGTTTGTATTAGTTTTAATTTTTTATTTTAATTTTAGTTAAATTTTTAGGAATTTTGTGTGTAAAATTGTGCAATTTATAGTAAAGTTGTGTGTTGTCATATTTATTTATTTTTATATATTTTAAATTTTTTTATTTCAGTTTAAGTTTTAGTTATTTTAGTAAATCAAGGTAAACTAATAAGAAAATAATAATTGTTTTATTGGCAACAACCTAAAATAAAATATAATTTTTTTTAAGTATTATATTTTTTACAATGTTTATTTTAACAAAGTTGTTTTGTTTTAGTTAACTATATTAACTATAATATTTCATAATATCACTGTTTTCACTGTATGTTTTGATCAAATGAATGACTTGCTGAGCATAAGAGACTTATTTAAAAACATGAAAGAATCTTACACACCCCAATGTTTTGCTTTGTAAGTTTTATGACCTTCCAAATGAATTAATTGAAAATTAAATGAAATTCTGATTAAAGATTGGACTAAAACCCAAAATGTTGTAGGTTTAAACCCTGCAGAGACGACCCATCAGCTATTTTGCTTTGTTGCTCTGAAGGTTATTCTTTTAGTTTTACATATTCATAATTACAGTAATTCTCATCTCTTGTACTGAATATGTGATGGTATTAGTTAATTGACTTATGACCGTAATGTGCAGATAATTACGTCTAACATGGCTTGCATCTTTTCAGATTCTTTCTGAAAACGGCTTTCTGTGTACAGTGTTTGTCTGGTTCTGTTACATTATGACTGCAGTTACTGCACTGACGCACAAATGGTTTTCAGTTACGATTTTTATCAAAAGGTGTTTTCCTGAACAGAAGGGAGGAGAATTCAACAATATGAGCAGTAACTGACTGTATTTTCTGCTTAACAATAGTAGAAACAGGTCAAGGGAGAGACACATACACTTTAAGTAACTGACCATTTTATTACATATTCAGATACAGCCACTGCTTTTATAATCTTGATTGCAAACAATATAGTGTGCATGAATCATTGTAGGAAACTTTTTGTTTGGATATGTATATTTACATGCATGCATGTGTGTGTGTGTGTGTGTGTGTGTGTGTGTGTGTGTGTGTGTGTGTGTGTGTGTGTGTGTGTGT